GCCCCGCAGCGCGAGGAGCCGGCAGGGGAAGGTTGGCGACACGGGAAGTAGGGAGAGGTGAGCAACCCGGTGACCGCATGTCAGCCCCCTCTCCAGCTCTCAGGTTAGGACCCCTGCCCTGGGCTGGCCCCTCAGGGGACGACCCTGTCGGACGGGCGGCGCTTCTGCCTGATGCTGTGTGGGGGGGGGTGGGCACCCGACACTAGCTCTCATTAACAGACACTGGGCTGGGCAGCACCCAGCATGTATGCAAATGAGAACACCTTCAGGGAGCGGGGGACCCGGGGGGTGGACACAGCGGGCGACGAGACAGGGAGCGGCTGGACGAACCCACACAGCAGCCTTCCTGGAGGGGGCGGGCTGCCCCGGGCAGCCCCGGCCGTGGGGGGTGGGTCGGGGACGGAAGACGACTGGCCGCAGGTGTGCACTGGGCTGCAGCGGACGGAGCGGCTCCCCGAGGGGGCCCGGTCCCGAGTCCTCGCTGCTGTGCCCGGACGGGGCGGCCGGACGTGAACCGGTGGGCGAGGAGGGAGGGCGGCCTGGCTGTTGGAACGGGGAGCGGCGCAGGAAACCGAGGGGAGAGGCAGGAGGGCCCCCCCACCCGCCGAGCTGAGGGGTGAGGTCGGAGACAGCAGCGTGAACTCACGGCTCACTTCACACAGGTGCATGGGTGACGAGTAGAGACCCATACTAGCAACATGCATGCATGCAGCATGTGCATACACGGGCCAGGACACGTACAGACATGTTTACGTATATTCACAGGGCAGGTGCACCTCCACCGGGCTGGCCAAAAAGTCCCTCACGTTTTTCCCGTGCGGTGCTGCTGGCCGCACTCAGAGAGTGTCCTTAACTTCACCCTCAACGATCTTGTTAGATCGTTTTGTGACGGCTGTCCCGTGGGCCTGCGTTTAAAAACCACCTTATCAAAATGCGTGCATTTTTGTGCAGCCATTTTAATATTAAAAATGGAAGAAAACACGCAACATTTTCGGCGCGTTATGCTTCATTATCTCAAGAGAGGTAAAAACGCAGCTGAAGCCCAAGAAAAGACTTGTGCAGGGCGTGGAGAAGGTGCTGAGATTTATTGAATGTGTCAAAAGTGGTTTGTGGAGTTCCTTGGTGCTGCTGACATCTTGGCCAAACAGTTCTTTGCCGCGGGGCTGTACTCTGCGCTGGAAAGTGCTCAGCAGCCCCCCCGCCTCTCCCCACGAGAAGCCGTGAGCGGCAGATCGCCGACAGGCTCAAAACATCCAGATCAATAAAGCTATCGGTGAAAATGACAAACGTGTCGTTTGTTTTGTGGAAAAAACCGAACGGACTTTTTTGGCCAACCCAGCACACTAACTTGCAGACACGCGTGTGTGGACGTGATCGAGCGTACTTCACACGTACGGACACGCGCACGGGCCCAGGTCGGCGCGCTTACACTTCTGTGTCCAGGCTCTGCCGGCCGAGAGGCCCTGAAGCGGAAGACCCCGGGGAGCAGTGGGTGCACCCTCAGCACAAAGGGGCCTCGGGCCCTGAGACCGTTCTCCCGGCGCCCAGATCAGGACTCTGGGCCCCGGACGGGCTCCAGGACCGGCCAGAACCCACCCAGAACCAGCCCCACGGGCCGTGCCAGGAAGGCGAGGAGTGAGAGGGAGCGGGTGAGTGAATGAACGGAGGACAAGTGAGGTCCCGCAGTGACCGGGCATCGAGGGACGAGGAGCCACTGAAAGAGCCCCCAGTGGCCGAGGCGGCGAGGACCTGGGCTGCAAAGCTCGTCAGGGGAGCTCACAGCCTGGGCGGGCCGTGACCGCCCGCGGGCCTGTCCGCTACAAATACAGGACTGGGCGGTAAGGGGAGTCCTGCACACAACGCTCTGCCTTGGGCTGCGCCCGCGGGGAGTGGGTCCCAGCGCCCTGTGGGCAGAGAGGAACATCCGCAGGCTCCCTGTGCCCGTGGGGAGACTGAGGCTCAGACAGGTGCGGCTCCACCTGGGGCCATGGAGCTGCCCCCTCTCCCTCCCCCAGCCAGCTCTTGCAGCCTGCCTCTCCTTCACCCCCTCCGGGTCAGGCCCCCACCCTGCTCAAAACCCACTCTCAGGCCCACCCCCAGGGAAGGAGGGGCGGTTCCCAGGGCTTCTGGGACTTTGGCGAGGGGGGGGGCCCTGGGTGGGGGCAGGGAAGGAGGAGGAGCAGCAGAGACCCCTCCCTGCAGTGCAGACCTCCAGGGAGAGGGGAAGCCAGGACCCAGCTGGCCTGGGGCCCAGGGCTCCTGCCCCTCTGCAGGGCTGCTGGGCGGCCTCTGCTGACCGTGTGTGGACAGCGCACTGACCCAGCACGACACCACTTGCTCCATACGACCCACGGGCAGCACCGCCCCACCGCACAGCTGCCACCTTGAGGACATCCAGCCCCACCTGGCGGGTTCTCAGCCCCTGTCTCAGGAGTGGGGACACCACTGCTCCCCAGCCAGCCCAGTTTTGGGGTGCAGCCCACCAGTCCTGATAGGTGACCCAGCGTGGGGCTTGGGGCCCCGGTGTGGGCACAGCCCCTCCAGGGGCAGACCCAGCCCAGGGGTCTGGAACTTACCCTGCCAGGGGGCCGACGCTGCCGCTGCCGAGGAAGGGAGAGAGGCTCCCCGGGGTCCCCTCCTAGGGTCCCCAAAGTGCCGCACAGAACGGGGACAGGAAGGCGCACGTTCTCAGCGAGCCTGGCCCTCCCGGCTCCGGCTCCGATTGGGTGGCCCGAGCAGTCCTCGGGGTCATTGGCTGCGCCTGGGCTGACCCGCCCCACCAGGAAGGGGCCAAGTCTCCTCGCCGACCTTTCCCCTCCTTATCGCCCGTCCAGGGGCCGGCGGGAAGTGTCAGCATTCCGCCCGGCCCGCATTCCAGAGCCCGCACCTCGGACGGGCCGGCATTCCGGAGCGGGGCGGGCCGGGGCCGGCAGCCGCAGGGGGGTGGCTGGGCCCCCACAGCCGCCTGGTGGGCTGCAGATTGGCCGCACCTGGGCACAGGTGCCGCACCCCGGTCACCGCCTCTCAGAGGAGGGGGCTGGGCCCTTGGACGGCTGCTGCCCTCCCCGCCCCTCGCACCAGGCTGGAAAGAGCTCGCAGTCTCGCCCGCCCGGGCTGGCTGCAGCAGCGGGGCCCTCAGGGCAGCTGCCTGGAGTTCCGCAAACGGCCACTGAGCGGGTGCCGGGTGCTGGGCCCAGCGCGACACCCGCAGTGGGTCTCCGACGGCTGGTGTCCGGAGAGACTGCGCCCTACACTCGCTCACAGTGGCTCCCCTGGGGGGACCTCAGAGAAACAGGGCCCAGGAATCGGGGCTCGTGACACGTTCCCGAGGGTCTGCCTGCCACCGGACCCCTCCCACACATGGGGGGTTGGGGGGGGCTGGCCCGGCCCCAGCCGGGGCAGGCGATTCCGGGTTCCTGACCGCGCAGGGAGAAGGTCGAAGCAGGAGTGCCAGTGAGAGCGAGAGTGGGTTTATTAAGGCCGAGACCAGAGCAGCAAAGGAAGGGCCCTGGGGACAGGGTGGGGGACAAGCCCGGGACCAGCGGCCGCTGCCCCTGCCCCCGCCCCCCCGGATGCGGGTCCGTGTGGGTCCTGAGAGCTGAGGGGAGAAGCGGCAAAGACGACTCCTGGGGAGGGGAGGGGTGTGTGTGTCCTCAGAGAAGAGCTGCTGGCCTCCTTCGTCCCGAGGGTTTTATCTGCTTCCCGTAGACGGGAAGTCCTGGGGGGTGGGGGGGTCCCCTGGGGGAGGATCTCCACAGGATGCTCTCCAGCTTTCCGGGTGAGCCGTTGGACATGCTGACACGTTACGACGAGCGGCAGGCATCTGGGGTCCTGCTCTGGGTGGGGGTCCCGTGTCTCGGGCTTGTCCGGCCCTGGCCCTGACGAAGGGGGCGCAGGCCGTCTGCTGTCAGGCACCTCCGGGGGGGAACGGGCCTTGCGGTTTGTCACCCGGCTGCTCACTGCTCGGCCGTTCCTCCCCCCAGTACACCACCCCCACCCAAAACTCCCCGTTGAGCCATTTTTCTGTTTCCTCACTCCGCTACACAGGGAATATGACTAGTTTCTCACGGACCCGCCTCAGCTGGGCAAGTCTGGGCCCCCATCCCACATCGTGTCCCCCATTGACGATTCACACAGGTGAGCAGTCACCCGGGGCCTGGGGCCCACACTGCCTCCCTGGTCCCCCAAAGACCTGCGGACCACCAGGGACGGGATCACTGTTCCCCCACTGGTTGTGTGACTTCAGGCAAGTTTATTTCTTAAAAACAAAAGATTTTATTTGTTTATTTTTCGAGAGAGGGGAAGGGGGAGAAAGAGAGGGAGAGAAACATTAATATGTGGTTGCCTCTTGCACGCCCCCTACTGGAGACCTGGCTCGCAACCCAGGCATGTGCCCTGACTGGGAATCGAACCGAAGATGCTTTGGTTCCCAGGCCCGTGCTCAATCCACTGAGCCATGCCAGCCAAGGCCACCATACCCTTCTAAAAGCCATTCTAGAAATCTTGCTTTAAAGGAATAAAGACAAGACCACCTTCCTCCCACCAACTGAGACCCTTCTTCCGAGATTGGGCCTGATCGATGGGGGCTCTTCTCAAGACGAGTGTCCTGCCCCTGCAGGAGCCTGGGTGAGTGACACGGTGACGGGGACGGTGGCCCTGAGGGACGCGCGGGAGCACTCCGAGTGACGCCACCGGAAGCAAGAAGACCCTGGAGGACAGGTGAGTGCCGCCAGGCCCAGACCCCCAGCACCAGCTCTGCGTTGGACGGACGGGCTCGGTCCTGGAACAGCGGCCGGAGGAGACAGAAACGGGCCGGGAGAAGGTTGTGGCCTGTGGGCCAGGCAGGGACAGGCGTGGCCCCTTCCACAGCTTCAAGTGTGAAAGGAGGGTTGGCACCCTGGCTGGTGTGGCTCAGTGGACTGAGAGCCGGACTGCAAAGCCAAGAGTCGCCGGTTCGATTCCCAGTCAGGGCACGTGCCTGGGTTGTGGGCCAGGTCCCCAGTGGGGGGTACGTGAGAGGCAACCCCACAGTGATGTTTCTCTCCCTCTCTGTCTCCCTCCCTTCCCCTCTAATAATAAATAAATAAAATCTAAAAAAAGAAAAGCAAAGCGGTCGGGCTACAGCCTAAGGCCACAGGGACTTGAGTTGATTCTGACTCGGTCACAGGGGCTGCCCTCACCACCTCCCGTGCTGGACCCGGGGCAGGAGGGGGTCTGGACGCTGGCCACCGCTGGAGGCCGAACAGACGTGGGCCCTGTGACATCACTCCCCACTGCGCTGGTCTCCGAGGCCGGGGGGCGGGACTTCACAGCGGCGCCGAGGCCCGCAGCCCGTCTCTGCTCCTGAAAGCGCTGGTGAGAGGAAGACTGTGGAGGACAGAAGAACACGCTGCGGTCCGCCCTGGTCGCCGGACCGCTGCGGGCAGGCGCTCCCTGCGCTCCCCCTGTGCTTTCTGTGCGCGCACCCCGTCGGTGACCAGAGGACGGTTATGTCGGCCGTCGGAAGAAACGGGATGACTGTGATGACGGAAACCGTCCCGCGGATGCAAGGTCTTCGACAGAACTGTTTCTGAGCCCCCTCTCGAGCCCGAGCTCCTGCGGCCTCTGATCCCCTGACTCCGCCCCCACCCCCCAGTCTGCCGCGTGTTCGGCTGTTGTCACGTGCCCCCGCTGCGTCTCCCCTCCAGCCCCGGGAGCCCAGGAGCCGGGGCACTTCTCTCCCCGGTGACTCTGAGCAAGCCCCGCCCCTCCCGCCCTGGGCCCGCACCCCTCCCTCCAGACCTGGAGGAGCCGCCTCCGCCCACCACTGCCCTCTAGTGGGGAACGGGAAGATCGACCGCAGCGTGCTCTAGTACCGGGTGGGGCAAGACCTCTGTGGGTGACCCCAGTGGAAGCGCCCCAGGGGGCCGCGTGCCCAGAGTCTCTCCCTCCACAGAGGAGAGGGGTGTGACCTCCCCAGGGAGTGGTGACCTGGGTTCCCCTGCTCTCCCCACTTGCCAGACCCTCGATTCTTAATCATGTAAGGGTGTCGCCCCCGAAAGAATGTCCGGCCTCAGGAAAGTCTTCAGAGCCCATTGGAGCCGAACTGAGGAAAAGGATCACAAAGTCTCAGCGGACGGCGAAGATGCCCCGGGAAGGGCAGTTCTGCAGTTTACTTTCCCCACGGGACTCGGGAGGAGCCGGAAGCAGTTCCCTGAATCCGTGGGCGGCAGGCGAAGGGGGCGGGAGAAAGCAAAGCCGGGAGGTCTCTGGGGTCAGAGAGAAAGTCAGCCGGAGGGAGAGAGACTTGCCTCTGTCTCGGGGGCGGGCACAGGGTCTCCCCCCCACTCACGGAGCCGGGTGGGTGGTGTGTGGGCAGCAGGAGGGTGACATGGTCCCAGCTCTGGTGCCCTGGTGAGTGCCTTTAAGGGACCTGGGCAAGATTGCGCTGACATTCCAAAGGAGCGTCATCCGAGACGCACAACACAACGGGCAAGGTCACAGGTGCGTCCTCCTAGGGGCGCGGAGACTACAGACAGTTTCGAAGGCGAGGACCGACCTTTGTCAAGGAAGCTACAGGCCTGCAGGGGACTGCTCACCATGGCCTGCCCTGGGTAGGGGTCCCTGTGTTCGGACCGTCCGTGGGGTTACTTCGGTCTCTGGGCTTGCAGGGCCCCCCATGCGGTGCTCCCCTGAGCGTGTCGGGGTCAGTGGGTGGCCCCTTCTTTGTCCACAGTACTGGTCCTTCAGCGAGGTCCCCGGCCCCGAAGACCAGGGCGCTGCTCACCATCGGGGAACGTGGGATGGGCTGGCACGGAAAAGCAGGGGGCAGGTGGGCAGGTTTCCAGGTGAGGCTCACGACCGGTCCCCCGAAGGCCCATCCCAGCATCTCTTCCAGGCCGCACCGCGTTGGGGGGAGTGGTCCTGGTCCCCACTGTGTGCCGCTCGGGACAAGAGCTGGTCTCCCTGCCTCTGAGTCCCCTGCTGGGCCTGCCCCCAGATGGTCACGGATAAGTGGGGACACGGGAGATCGGTCACATGGTCACGTGGCTGGGAGGGCCCGGGAGCTCCCGGCCTGCTGGGGCGCTGGCTCCTGGGTGACCCAGCTTCTCCGGGCCCCAGCTTTCTTCTCTCCCCCTGGGAGCCCCTCCGCCCGAGCTCCCCTCCCAGGCTGTCGTGGGGGGACGGTACTAAGTTGAGTTGTGTCCCCTGGAAAGATATGCTGAGGTCCCAACCCCCGGGGCCTGGGATGCGACCTTATTTGGAAAGAGAGTCTTTGCAGATGTGATTGGTTCACAGGAGGTCCAGCCGGACGTGGGCGGGCCCTCCACCGGAGGGCTCCGGACCTCACGTGAAGAGGGGATTACCGTGGTCTGCCGTGGATGATGTGCACCCACGTCTTTGGCCCAGACTTTCAGGGGGAAAAATCTTTAATTTCACGGTATATAAATACGGAATTAGTAACACCCATGTATAATGTGCATCCTTATTTTTCCCTAAAAAATGTGGGCACAAAAGTGCGTGTTATACAGGGCAAAACACGGTGACCCAGGGAACCGGAGGCCCCGTGAGGACAGGGCAGAGACGGGAGGGCCCCACCGCAGCCCAGGAAGGCGAGGAGCCCCCAGAAGCCGGTGGGAGAGGAAGAATCTTCCCCCAGAACTACTGGGGAACACCGCCGCCCCGAGACCTTGATTTCAGGCGTCTGGCCCCTCGAACAGTGAACAGCGAGAGGACAAACTTCTGCAGCCCCAGGAAACGGGCCCAGCCAGGCTGCCGTTACTGGGAGGGTGCGGGGGGAGGGGGGGTCCGGAGCTGATCATGCCTCCTGCTCCCTCCACGGGGCCTGGCCTGGGCTGGGCAGGCGTTCGCCTCTGAGCCCGCTCCTCCCCCTCCCTCTCTGCGCCCCTCCCCCCGACCCCCCACCCCGTCTGCTCCCGCTGCACACAGGCACAGCGTGCATTACAAGGACGGCCCTCTGAGCACCAGGCAAAGCCCAGGCTGCCCAGCGTGAGTCCCCGCCAGCACCCGGCCCGTATATTCTGTCTGCTTCCCCGCGTTGCTGGGAACGAACCATCTTGTGCTTCTCTGTGGTGGCCAGACGTCGCCGAGCCCTCAAAGCCCTCAGAGTTCCGAGGGCGCAGACACAGCCGCTACGGAGAGTCGAGGCACGGCTGCCCCACGCCAGCACGTGCCCTGGGCTCACCTGCCTGCAGAGGCCCACTCAGCCGTGGGCGTGCGACGGCGGTGAGCTCGGGCCCCATGCAGCTGCGCCCTCCTGCCGTGCGGGCCCAGCGCGCTGAGAGCGAGGCTCCGGGATGTGAGTCACATGTTATTTTTACTCCCGGTTTCGCGTGGCATGCTTTAAATTATTGAGTGGTTGGAACGGTCCCACAATGAAATCATATTTCATTTGATTCTCCATTTGGCTGCGAAGTCAATCCATTTCTGGGCCGTCTTTGCAGGTGAAGAGAGGACAGAGAGACCTGCAGTTTGGCGAGAGAATGCCCAGAGGGGCCCCGGGTTATCCAGGGTTATCCAAGTGCACGGTCGCCGCGCACCTGCGGCGGGCAGGCTTTCTGCACCCCCGGGTTTTCAGGGTGGCCCCTTTCTCGGCCGGCCCCAGGTGAGCCCAGCCCCCTGGCCCGCCGGCACTCCGTAGGAGGAGCCGTCTGCCGGAGCCTCCGCAGACCCAGTGCAACGTCAGGGATGTGGGGAGAGGCTCCGGGGTCTGACTCTTCCCTCTGGTTTGCTGCGTCTGGGGTCTCGGAGGGAACTGTGGTGGGCACACGCCAACCTGAAGCTCACCAGCTACTCCCCCTCTGTGCTGAAGATTTCAGCATGTGCCGGGGACCCCGGGGTGCTCTGGGGACCCCGGGATGTGCTGGGGACCTCATCATGAGAGGAACCCAGCCCTACCTGGAGGCCTGACATCTGGGGAAGGACCCAGGCAGGGGACAAGGGACAAGACTGGAGTCATGTGGCAGTGACAGTCAGCCGTGGGAGCAAAGGTGGCCTGTGGCTCAGCTGGGGACCGGGGGGCCTCTCCGGCTGCGGGATCCGCAGCAAAGTCCGGAGGGAGAGGCTGACCTGTCCCGGTGAGGGTGGGGCGTTCCCGACAGCCGAGGGGGCAGAGGGCCAGGGCTGGTCCCGTGGGACAGGTCCCTCCGAGCAGAGGTGCTGGCCCTCGGCCCAGGCCCCCGGTCCTGCTGCCAGGCCTGCCCGGGCGCCTCCCAGGGGTGACAACAGGATAGGAGGGGCCCCAAGCCCTCTCTGCAGGAAGACCTGGGTGTGCGTCCCGGCAGTTCCACTTGGCGATGGTTCGAGTTTCAGTAAAAGCCTCCGTGTCCACATTTGTAAGACGGGACTACGATGGTGGTGGTGGTGGTGACGGAGGTTCTGTGGCACGGGGGCCCTGGCGAGGCCCCCAGAGTCATCCTCAGGGGCAATTCTGTGCTTACCCTCGGCTCCCGCCGGGGGTCGGACCAAACTCCTGCCTCCAGGCCCCTCTGCCCCCTGTAAGCAGCTCCCAGCCCACGGGCCCCAGCGCCAGTGTCAAGGAGTTGCTGGAAGGCCCTCTGACCGCCCCCCCCCCCAGCGCCCTCTGAAAAGCGGCGGGCCGCATTTTCTACGACTAGTTGCGTGGCTTGTGAAACAGATTCCTGCCCGTTTTCTTCCCCTGGCCAGGGCCCCGGGCACCAACGGCGTTCAGGACCTGCTGGGCGGGTGCACGGGTGGGCGGGTGGAGGAGACAGGGGAGAGGAGGCTCTGTCTCCAAGGGCCGGTGACGGCACCTGCGTCAGCCTGGCTGTTTCAGTAGCAACAGTCACATCGTTTATGGAGCCCGACTTTTTGCCAGGCATTCGGAAGTGTTTCACTTTCATGACCCATTTGTTTGGGTCACGAAACACCCCAATGGGACCGGCGCTGTGGTTTGAAGGAGGAGGAAAGGGAGGAGCAGGGAGGACAAGCCAGTTGCCCGAGGTCGCACCTGGAGTGCGAAGCAAACCAACCTGTCCCGTGGCCTCCCCCACCCACCCCGTGCTGCAGGCGGAGGGCGGGGCGGGGCCTGCCCCCACCGGGCTTGCCCGGCTGGGGAACCAGCTGCGTGAGGGGGGGCGCAGCCGGGCTACAGGACCTGGGGCAGGCCCTCCCTGGCCGCTAACCTGCTGGGTGACTCTGGGCAGGGCCTCCTTGGGCCTTACATTCTGCCCTCGTGAAAGAATGTGCTGGAACTGCGCGTGATCCTGAGGTCCCTCCAGGCTGAGCACTGCCGAGGCTTCCCGCCTGGCCCCGGTGGAGGGCGCCTGCTCAGGGGCAGGCGGCTCTCTAGGGAAGCCCCGGTGGCTGAGCTCTGGGACCCGCCAGGAGCCCGGCCGCCCTTGTCACCCTCTGACTGGCAGGGGCTCAGGAGCGAGTTTCCGTCCACACCCGGGTGCCTCCCTTGGCCACTGGTGTCGTGGTGTCTCTCTGGGGCCACGGTCAGGCTGTGTGGGGAACCGTCTGCCGTGCGGGGGTCAGGGGGTAGGAGGGAGCGGGGTCCTGGGAACGTTTGGAGACATGGAGGGGAGGGTGCTCCTGCCAGGGAGGGAGCAGGGCTGTCGGGGAGCCGGACGGAGAGCCGTTACAGAGGGTGAAGCGTGGCAGGGGTGCCCACCCTCTCCCTCCCCTCCATGCTCTCTCCCTCCAGTCAGCCGATGTTTGTGAGCCCCCCCCACCCCTCACCGCCGTGTCCCGGGTGCAGTGCGAGGTGCTGAGAGTGAGGATGATAGCATGACAGCAAAGACATTCATGGGTCTCAGCTCGTGCCGGGGCCCAGCACACACCCGCTCACGTCACCCTCAGAGCTATGCTAACAGGGGTGGGGTGGCAGGGTGGCAGCCATCAGGTCCGATGGTGAACGCTCGGACACAGAGTTAGGCACCTCGCATGAGCAGGTGGAGAAGCCAGGCTGCCCACAGGTGGTCAGACCGCAGGGTGCTCCGCCTCCACTCAGCCGCTGCTCAGATGGGGCCCTGGGGCCCCGAGGGGAAGGGACTTGCTGACGGCCGCCCAGCTGAGGGGGGCGCTGTGTGGGGAACAAGGCATCTGGCTCCTTCCACTCGTGTGTTCCGGGCAGGAGGCCCCGGTGCACAGCCAGACATTGGGGCCCTGCTGCTGCCGGTTGGCCCAGCCACCCAGACGGCCTCCCGGGTTTCCAGAGTGTGTGGGGCTGGGGCCAGCTGGCCTTGACCGTGGTTGCTTCTGCAGTACTTCAGCTCTCCCCAGGAGCCATGGGCACCAGGGAAGAACATCTCCTTCTGTCTCGGTGTCCCATTCAGTGTCCACAGTCCCTGTGCCCAGCCTTCCACCCTGTGCTGATAGCATCTCCAAGCAGCCCTGACCCTCCCCCAGCAAGGCCAGGTCCCGGAGATTCTGCCCCCTACATGTTGGTCCAGCCCTGGCGCTCTGCACTCCCTGTCTGTCGTTAGTACAAGCCGCAGTGGGTCCACCTGCTCCCACCGCGGGGCCTTCCTTTTCCTGTGCCCATGCTCTGTGCTGGGCGCCTGACGTCACAGAGGGCAATTGGTCACTGCAGGGTGCTGGGGACTGGGGCCTTCGTGGGGGGGGGGGGGGGAAGCGCCTCCGCCTGAGCACTGCCCCAGCCAGGCGGGTGCAGCGTTCCAGGAACGCGGGGTGCACGGCCCTAGACCTGGATTTAGGAGCCCTGCGCTGGAATCGCAGCCTGCTCTAGCCTCGCTAGGGGGTGGGGGCAAATCCTCGGTGCCCTGTGGCCGCCCCAGTCTCCCCTCTGCAAATTGGGGAAGGAGAGGGTTGGCCCAGAAGACGCACAAGGACCTTTGCAGCTCCACGGCTCAACAAGAGTTGCACCAAGTTCGCTTTTCCCTCGGACATCCTCTTCGGCACTCCCAGGGTATCAAGAGCTGGCGCCAGCCAGGCCGCCAGCCAGGCCATCAGCCAGGCCTCGGTGACAGCGCCGCAGAGACCTCAGAGCGGCTGCAGGAGGCCTGAGAGGCATCCCCTGTTAGCGCATGCGCCTATCGTGCGGCCTGCTGGAACTTGTAGTCCGTCGCGCGGCTACTGGCGCGTGAAGGCGGAATGGCGGGGGCCCGGCGCCTACACTTCCCAGGGTGCGCTCCGCCGCAGCGCGGTGGGGGCGGGGCGGAGCGGGACGGGGCGGGGCAGCTTGGGGGCGGGGCTGAAGGGGCGGGGACGATGGGGCGGGGCTGGCGCGCCGGGAGGCTGCGGCGGCTCTGCGGGCTGGCTCTGCCGAGAGCAGAGCCGCCGACCCGCGGACCGGTGTAGCATCGTGCGGCCGGGCGCCGCACCTGCGAGCGGGAGCGTCGGACTGCTGCAGCGCCGGGACCACCCGACTCCGAGTTGCCGCTGAGATGAGTGCAGGTGGGTGTGGGGACCGCGGACCCGCACATTCCCGAGCCGGATCGCCGCGCAGCAAGGGCTGGGGCAGCTGCACCTGCAACACAGGGGGGAATAGCCCCGCGGCTCCTCCCAACTTTTGCCCCAGGATCCTGTGGTCTCGAGGTTTCGGCGCGCAACCCTCGGCCCCGAGCCCCAGGCACGTAGCTCTGCTGGGCGTGCTGGACACCCCCTTGCTACTGCGCTGGCTGGAGTGGCTGCTCTTGGCGCTCTGGAAGGCGCCACTCATCAGCTCTCAGTGGGGTCGGGGGGCACCGTAGGCTGCAGGAGGCGCCCAGGATCCGCGCGAGGGATGCGGGGCCGCCGCAGATCCTGACGCGTAGCTGCGATGAAGACACAGGGGCTTTGCGGCAGGGGGCGCCGCCCTTGCGCGGTTCCCGCACGCCTAGGTAGGTCCTGGGTCGGGGGCTTCAGACCGACCCCGGTACCCTGGGCTCGCCCGCGGCAGGTTTTGGGGCATAGAGCCTGCAGGTGTGTGCTACCCGCCCGTCTCTCTGAGGCTGTCGTCTCTGTGGCCTCACCCCTGCGCATCCCCGCTGCTGCCTCCCGCGCCGCACCCACCAGCTCTCTCGGCCTCTGTGCGGCGCTGGAAATCCCTCTTCGCCGCAAGCCAGCCGCACCTAGGGGGCTTGGAGAAACTGAGACCTGGAGCTGGGCGGCCTTGGCGGAGGGGCCGGGACAGCAGACTGAGAGCCCCAGCTTTGACAGCCTCCTGGGGCCCGGCCCTGGGCGGAGGGCTTGCCCTTACATTCCCTGGCAGGGAGGGGCCGTTACCCCGTTTTTGAGGGTGGGACTCAGGCTCACGTGCTTGAGTCACTTGCTCAGCTCCCAAAGCGGGGTGGGGACTTGAACCTGGTGCTGCCTGACTCCTGTGCACTTTCCTCTGAGCCTGCCGCTCCCCAGACTGCAGTACGGCCCTTGGCCACAGTGCAGAAACCAATGGGAACAGCTGCTTCTCCTGGGGCCGGGGAGCGGGGAAGCGGTGTCAGGATGCAGAGGGAGTGTGCATTTAGTGGGCTCTTACTGTGTGCTCTCGTCCCGGGAGAACTGTGTTTCCAGGGACACCTCCCCCAAAGGGAAGCCGTGCCCTCCCCCTCCCGACCTAGGATCCAAGGCTGCCACCGGCTGAGAGCAAATGGCAGGCGGTGGGAGGCAGAATTCTCTGGAAGAGGATTTCTGAGATGACCAACCTGTTATCTGGAGGTAGCTTGGGAGCGGGGCACCCCCAGACGTGGCAGGACCTCCAGACACGTCTCTCTAATGGGAGGCGGGGATGATGGCAGGGTGCACGCAGGGTAATTGGGGGCTTCCTGGGACCATAATTGATACCTCCCGCGCTCCTGTAATTAGAGAGAACCCTGCGAGAAGCCCTGCCCCCCCATTGTTTTTTAATCTGGGAGAAGGGGTACGTGGGCACCTGGGGCCATGGGGGTCACGGTTGGAAAGAGCCAGGGGACCGGGGCTTGAACCCCAGTGTGCCCCGGTGGTCCTGGGTTTGGCTGCGTTACCTAGAGGGGACAAGGTGCACGGGAGGAACTCTGCACGCAGTGGGCCCTTAGCAGCTTGTGACGGACGTGCTGGATGGTCACGTCCGCCTCCGGTGGCCTGAGTGCCCGGCCCATAGGGACCGGCCATGAGGATGCTCTTCCGTCCACCTGCTGCTTATGCCCCGGACCTGCCCCCAGTCCACTGTCAGCACAGCGATGGTTTTCACCACGCTTCCGGGTACACGGGCAGTGTGGTCCCTCGAGCCTGGCTACTGTCTGGCAGCTGTGAGCCTCTGGCAGGCCGGGGCTTCCGTCGTCAACAAGGGCAGATCCCCTGGCGGCCACCCCCACGGGAGGCCGGCAGCGTTCCGGAGCTCTGTGCCAGCAGGTGTGGCGGGGCATCACGTGGTCTGGTCTCCAGCTGGCCAGATGGGCCGGGGAGAGGCAAGGCCCGAGGCGACCCACACCCCCTCCCCTTGCCTTCGTGCCGCCGGGGCTGTGGGACCCTCTTCCCTCCGCCCGAGGACGCAGGCACCTTTGCGAAGGCTCCGGTGGGGTTGCAGCCCCCCTGTGGCTGCCTCCTTGTGTTTTGCGCGTGGATCTTGAGTGGGCAGGGACATGGTCGGAGACGGCGCTCTCCAGCACTCAGATCCAGGTGCGGCACACTCGCTGGGGGCTCCCTTGCCTCAGTTTCCCCATTGTGTGGAGGGAATGCCCTGAGCTTGGCCTGCGGTGCCAGCCCGCAGGCGGTGGGGCCCCGGTAGATGAGGATGAGTGTGGTGGTGGCTTCACGGCATCGCAGCCCACGTGGCCACCACGGGACAAAGGGGGGCAGAGGAAGGAATCCAAGCTGGGAGGGGCTTTGGTGCCAGCTCTGCCCCCAGGGGGTACCGGGTCCCTGAGCAAGACCCACCCTTCCTCCGATCCAGCTGTCCTCCTGGGGGGCTGCAGGCCCCGGAGGCAGGAGGCCCCAGGGGTCAGGGCCCCGGGGAGGGCCGTGCTATTCTGCCAGGGCTGACATGAGACAGGGGCTAAAGCAATGGAAAGTCATCTTCTCCTGGCCCTGGAGGCTGGACGCCCAAGGTCAAGGTGTGGGCAGGGCTCTTCCTCCTGAGGCTGCTCTGTTGGTGTGTAAGTGGCCGTCTCCTACCTGTGTCCTCACGTGGCCGTCCTCCGTGTGTGTCTGTGTCCTGATCTCCTCTTACGAGGACACCAGGCGTGTGGGATGAGGGCCTATTCCAGTGACCTCATTTTAGCTTAATCACCTCCATAAAGTTCTCTCCAAATGCAGTCACATTCTGAGGTCCCAGGGGGGTTAGGACAGTGACATACGGATTTGTGGGGGACACCACATGGCCCCTAACAGGGGGGCAGGGCCAGGTGAGAGCCCGGGTGGCTGGCTCAGCCACCTCCTCTTCCCAGGGCTACTGTGGGAGCGTCGCACCGCTGGACGGGACCTGGGGGATGCCCGCCCACCCGCCTGGGGGGAAACCGAGGCCCGGAGGAGTAAAACAGCTGTCCGGGGCCAAGGAGAGCATGCGGCGGGGTCCGAGCCTCCCTCTGGTGGACACCGGCCCCGGTGTTTGGAACCAAGAGACACACTTAGCTCTTCACCTAATTCAAGTGCAGGCGGTGACGTGGCCGCTGACCTGTTCCCGTCAACGTTGCTGACGGCAGCACAGAGCCAGGGCCCTCACGGGTGGCGGGGGGGGGGCGGTGGCCCCGCCGTCCTCTGGTTCATGGGCACTTGTCTACTGAACGCCCCCTGCGTGCCCAGCCCTGCCCCCCGGCCCTGGGCGCCGGTGATGGACGAGAGCGAACGAGAATCCCCGTCCCCCGGAAACCGGCATTCTGGGGGTGGGGGCGGCACTCTGGAGCCGCAGGCGGGGAGGGTTCCATGTTAGAAGCGCAGGCGCAGGAGACACTGAGTTTAGACAACAGCCGAGGACACACGTCGCACAGCACGCGTGACCTGCCCTCTGCAGGAGCAGCGCAGGAGCAGAGACCGGAAGGAAACTCCGGACTTTTCTGCGACTTCTCCGTGCGCTCTTCTCAGCGTGTGCTTTCCTCCCCCACGGGCGTCCCTTCCCGGCCTGAGGCGTGTGCACCCCGCTCCACAATCCCCAGCTCCGTGGGCGGTCCGGCCGCTGCCGTTCCCAGGGGCTGCGGTCCCTCGTCTGGGCAGGTGACCCCGTCTGGGAGCGTCTCACAGGTGGTGCACTGGGGCCAGGCTCCCAGTGACGCCGCCACCTGAACTCGGGGCAGCAGGAGACAAAGCATCCCGACCCGGACACTCGTCACAAATCGCATGTGAAAGGACAGCCGTGGCCCCGGGCCCGGCGCAGCCTGGGTGTCACCGAGCTCCCAGCTGCTCTCCCCCACGTTCAGGGTCACCTCCTCACCGGCCACTCCTGACCCTTTGACTCTGCAGGCTTCTCTCGATGACGGGGTTTGTGGGGGGGAGATGGTGCCTTTTCCACCGGCCAGGTGAGGAAGTCGAGGGCAGCCCAGTCTTACTGCCCCACGAAAGCGAGTGTGACCCTCACTTACCGAGAGGTCACCTGTTGGGCCGCCCGGACCCCTGCAGAGCGTCCCCTGGGTCGTGCGTGGGGGAGCCGTGAGCTGCTGGGGCAGTGGGTGGTGACAGGAGGTACGTACTGGGGGCAGGGTCTGGCCTGTGCAGGGGTCTGTCCTGCCGCTGGTCCTCAGGGCCACCAGCAGCGGCCGGACTCGGGTCCCCAGACCCCTCCTCTGCACAGATGCCGGCTCCCTGGTGCCCCCACCCACCGCCTGCCCAGGCCCCGGCCCCGCCTGCCTCACCCCGGCCCTGGCCCCGCCTGCCCCACCCTGGCCCCGGCCGAGCAACCTGAGTATGGCGTCTCTGTTTACTCGGGACTCTTTCCATCGCCGGCCGGTCTCTAGGGTGTCGGCGGCACCCTGCATCCGTGTCCGGGCTGCCACGCCTCTCGGGGCTCTCCCTGGGGCCCCCCCCTGGGGCTCCATGCCCGCCGGGCGCTCCTGAGACGCGATAGCCCTTCTCAGGGCCACCGGGGC